CTACTTACATTAACATTTTCAGGACACAATTTTAAAAACAAAATTATTCACATGCAATTTTAGGACCTGAATTCAAGAGAACAGAACATCTGAAAATAATGGGAACTGCAAAAGCACAGTAATTCTATGGAATAACTCAATGAATGTCTGGTTTGCGATGTTTACAACAAGGACATTTAAGTCTTCAAGAACATTAACCTGTGTTATTTGAACTGCAAAAAGCTAAAGGGAAATGGATTCTGTAAACACGGATTCTGTAAACTAATAGATCCTTTTTTTTTCACTTTATTAAGACTTTGGTCCAGAGAACAGACTAACATTCTATCTTACAAATAAAAGTGAGAGAATGGTCTTATAGATAAAATTAATTACATTTATTAATTGTCAAAATTCCTTTCACATTTTCAAGTCATCCTCTCTCGTACCATGAACCCCTTCTCTATATTGACAATGGAACTTTGACACTTACAGTCTAAATCTGAAATTGTCATTGAGAACATATCAGACTATATGAACCGAGATAATGCACTTCTGTTCCTTGCTTTTTAGTTCTCCATGTGTCAGCCAGAGTGATAGTTATCTACTGATTTCTTTCTGGGAGTCAAGTAACTGAATCACAAAAATTCTGAGCTCCTTTTCAAGCTCTGCCCCTTACCTCCGCTGTGCCTTCAGACATGTCACTTTATCTTTCTTTACTCCATTTCTGCCTGTAAAAATGGAACATGTAAACTATTTCCATATTTTCCCTCTTTCACAGAGGTGACTGTTGTTCTCCAACCCTTACATATCTGATACTGAGACATGGGCTAACTAAGAATACTGTGCTGCAGACCAAAGATATGTTCATGTATAAATACCTGAGCTAGCTTTATCACAGGTATCTCAGGGGTGGCGAACAGTCTAATTATGACTGCATGGAAACAAATCTCCAGGGAAGAACATATGAGCCAAAATCTACAGCGCTGCTGTTTCACCACTGTAGGTACTCTAGTTAAATTCAACAAAAATTAAAACTGATTAGACCAATATGTGTATAAATAAATAGCAAGTGTACAGAAATCTGGGGGAAAAAACCAAACAGGAATATAATGAAATATGTCTAAAAAGGCTGCAAGAACCATGACAGAGACCTGACAGAACCAGATGAATGAATATGAAACAGAACAATGAAAAACTCTGCTTAGAGATCGTATGTGTAATTAATAACAGGAATTAATATGAAAAGGCTGTATTGTTGATTCCACTGATGGTGATAATACATCTCCAGCTATCCCTACCTTCATTAGAAGAAACAGAAATTTATGGAAAGAAAAAAAATAACAGCTATGTGATGACCAAAGACTTAAAAACCTGGGAATACGTATATATAGTTTAGAGGAAAGATAGGAATACATAATAATCCACAGTATTTAAAAAATAAAATGTGATACTTCCATATTCTTTCTCTTAATGATAAAAAGGAACAGTCACAAAAACTGTTAAATAAGAGGGAAAAAAATGAAAAAAATATTTCAATAGCTTTCAGAGGAATTTCCTGTCGAAAGATATCCTTCAGGCCAGTAACTCGAAGAGGGTTAATGTCTTGTGATAAATTAGGTCGTGGTTGTTGTTGTTATTATTATTATTTAGAAAATCACAATTTAAACACACGCTGACTATTAACTATTAGAGTCAAGAGGATAGGGAATTCTGGAAAATCTGCCACAGGGGCTTTTTTTAACATTCCTCTGAGATACATGGTATTCGGCATTGTCAAAACCAGAAGGCTATGACTAAGGACCAGGAAACTCATTTACCATGGTAATGTCTTTACCCTTGATATACAAATACAAATGTAATAAAAATGTTCTTGAGAAAATTATTGTGCAATTTACGTTAAGACAGTGCCATTCTAACAGCAAAATTAGAGAAGCAGCCTGCACATATGAGCAGAATTTCCTTGTAAGGAAAGCTCCATGGGCAGGGGATAAATTAACTCAGAACTTACTTCTGGTTCTGCAGATTTTACTAATTAACAAGATCTTTGCATACTGAATTTTCACAGTCAATCTGCTAACATTTCTTTTTTTCTTCCCCCCCCTTTTTTTTTCTCCAGCATCTGACACCACAGCTAATCATCAGAACAAAACTTCAATCTACATCTGACAGTCATGTAGGCTGGTAGGTAATGTACAGCATATTCTAAGAAAACCAACCCCCTTACCTTTTTTTTTTTTTCTTTCCAGCATTTTATCCTCGCCTGAGAAAACAGAAAGAGGCCTCTTACCAGCAAACAGAGAGCTGAATTTCCTATTTACTCTGACAGTCAACTCAATGTTCTCACATTTGCCTTAACTATAAAAATTACTTGTTCTCCTTAGTCATCTTAGCTTGCAAAAAAAAGTATCAGATGTATCAGAGGGTTTAGCGTACTATGCTGAAAATTATAATTTCAAACTTTAAAAGAAAGAAATCCAAAGCAATTAGTTATAACTGCATTGTTTCACACCAACTAAAATTAAATGGTAAATATTTGAAGTAATAGCAATTAATAACTAAGACAGCTTCCAAAGTGCTGTTTCCATGGAAAATCTGCATGAAAATCCAGCATAAATTCTGATTAAATCCTAACCAGGCTAAACACTGCAGATTACTTAGATTCCAATTAAATGTGACAAACGAGCACTTGACAGGTTTCAATTCCAATTCTATTTCTGTCAGAATGATCCATTAATATTGAAGATTACATTATTAGATTTTGAACAATACAATTGTGCCTAAAATAGTTAAAATACAAGTGGACTTCAGAATCAGATCGCAGAAAACTCTCACTCAAATGTCAGTTGTTACCTATATGTAGGAACAAAAGTACATTCCATCCTATTTTGTCATTATTTATAGATTAATGTTAACAAAAATTTCTGGAGGCATATGACATGGCACTGTTGAAATCTTGTTTTTAAAATGTGACAGCAAAATCCAAAAGTTTGTAGAGTATAATTTTTATCACAATGTCTCCCACCTTTCAAAGGTCTCAGTTCAAGGTTTTATAAAGGAGACGGAATTCCTAAATAGTATACGCAAGTCCTGCCATGCAAATTTTTTTCATGATAATTTTGTTTTCATTCACTTTTTCATGGAATAATATATTTATCTAGCTCTATGTTTCTGTCTATGTATTCTATCTATACAATACTATTTTTAAAACTGAATCCAACAAATTCATCCTACCAAACTTAAAATATAAAATATAATCTTTCAAAGAAACCAAAGTAATATCTAAAATACTTTAATGCCAGTTTTCGCATCAACACAAAAACTGAAATAACTGGTTTGCTTTAATTTTTGCCACCATTCAAGCTCTCTTCATTTTCAGTTACACTTCAATAAGCATAACGATTTTCAGTGGCTACTGAATATATTAAAAATGATATTCAATTGTGGCTTTACAGTTTTCCCAGTATGGTTCAGGCATACTGCATGTTAGCATGATTTAATGTTTAGCAATCTACTTCACTGCTATATGTCCAGGGAATTAACAAATTGTTCAGTTTCATTATCTTAACCACAAAATCTCACTACAAAACAGACAATAAAATAATCATCCCAATTTAGGCACAAAGTCTGGAAACTTTTTTCTGACATTTTTTTAGTAATACCAGTATCACTTTCTCCCCTACCACACACCCAGAAAAATGAAATGTAAAGAGATATTCATATAAATAATCAAGGAGAATATATAGACACACACTGATACACATACATAACCTAATAGATTTTCTTTTTAGATGGATAATACCATCTTTCTTTTTGGTCAATTAGTCATTAGCTGTTGGGATATACATTATAAGCATATGTAGACTGCTGTAGCCATTCTTCAGTCATACATACCGGATTTGGCAATATCTTACCATGGAGAATAACACACTTTTATTGGGTTAACATGTCTATCTCAGGAAAGACAAAAACCCAAGAACAATTTTCAGAGATTACAGCACTGGATAAACTAAAACATGCACTTAGCCAAACTAATTTATTCATTCTATAACAGAAAATATACCACCCTTCTTGCATGTACCCAACAATTCCAATTGGATTGGCAAATCCATTATTTCATTGGTTATCAAAAGTATGTACACTTTGACATAGAATAATTTATTTTATGGTTTATGGGCAAATGAAAAGACAGTGAAGTCAGTGTCTGACTTCATAAAATTTTAGATGAAAGCCAGTAAGTGGAGAACAGTAAAACATTCAGGTTTTATAAAAAACATTTCAAATTGAAAAGATTTTTTTTTTAAATTCTAAATACTTTTAGATAGAAAAGAAAACAAAACCTTTGATTTAGTTTACCTTTAATTTTTAATAGCTGGAGGATTACTATAGAATAAATAAGGATTCAGCATTTTTCCCCTCTAAAATAGACCCTGAATTTAAATGAGATATTCTAAAAGTACTGTATAAAATAAAGTGTGAAGAAAAGGAATGTTCTTCCTTTCCAAATAATGAAGAATGGCTTTGACACTCAGTGTTATTTTGAAAACAGTCTATATAATGTTTTTGGGTAAAGGGAATTCTCTAGAGTGGGGTTTTTAAATCCTACTTTCTTTTGCTGATGCTGTACATATTACGTTCCGGGAAATTTCTTAAGCAGTTGTTGAACCAAAAATGGAAGGAAAAGAGAATAAATGTCCTTTATGGTCTTTTATCTAAAAGGAAAAGTATGGAATTTAATTCAATTACCATCTCCCCAGCCCTCTACTGGTATTCTTTTCAATGTTTTAACTGCTTCTGCAGTATAGTTTTTAAATCATGTAAAGAGAAGAAAGTGCTGGTTTTATTAGTAGTGTTATGTTCCATTATTTTGTATATCTGCATTTTAACAAACTTTAAAATAAAATAATTACAATTTTAACTATTTAATATATTTATTTATTTATTTATTGGACTGACCTTTCAAAAGTCTACTTAGTATCACTTGCTAGTGAGATTATGTGTGTGAATGTCATGTTTGCCCCTACCATTTTCCATATGCTCTGCCTCACCAACACTGCCATCCGGCGTAGTCCTTTCGTAGTTGTCCTCTGGGAGTGGAAGGGCACCCAGTCTTGGCCCTGATGAACTCTTACTGCTTGGTGTTTCTGACTCCTCCAGACCGCTGTCATAGCAACTCTGCAATGACCCTTGATGCGGGTCCTGAGGCTGACTCACAACAGAAAACGTCACTCTACGAAATGGCTGCAAGAGAAAAGATTCTGAATGTCACTGAAAAGTTCAGTCTTTGAACATCTGATTCTCAAAACATGACTTAAGCAAACTAATATTTTAACATTTACCAATTAAACAGTTTTGTCTACATTAAAGCAAACAGCAAGTACAGTCCTGAAAAGGCCACTGGACAGAATATCTGTGGATTTTTCCTGGGATATGCGGTCCAGAACCTTCATGCAGTTTTGCATAGTCTCCTTTCAAATGGCTGCATGGGATAAGAAATCTGGTTTATAATTCTTTATAAATTCTGTACAGTTTCTCTTTTACCCAATAGTAATAATTTGAATGGAGTTTATATCAGACTGCACAAAGGTACTTGGCAGTGTGTGTGTGTGTATGTGTAAGACCGTGTGGGTGGGTATAAATGCTCACCTGTAAACTATACTGTGGATATTAGCAGCACACCCATAAGCCTTTCATATAATCACTTCCTGTGATTTTGAAAGCTAGTTGACATGAGAAAAGAGGGGGGGGGAAGAAAAAGAAAAAGAAAAAAAAAAAAAGAGGGGGTGGGGAAGGGTTCAGCCTCTTAGCTCCTTTGCCATAAAATTCAGCGCCTGGAGACAGGGTGTGTTGCCAGCTGACTTAATAAAGCCTTTAAAGTACTGCGAGCACAGCTGACACCACATGTTTTCACTGGGACTGTGCAAACATAGATTGTTAGAGATTTGTATTCATTCAAAATGACAGATATTACTGTTGCTCTGGAAGCCTACACGCTGAACCCTGGCACCAGTGAGCATCCCGGGAAGTGGGAGAGTCGATCCTTCGCATTCCAGAGGACACTGAGGGCAGGCGGGACTTTCAGTAAGAAGCTAGGGGATTCTCCTATGATTTGAACTACACTCAAGCAGTAATGATACATTTCAAATAACTTAATGATGCATTTGAAATCACTTACTGTTCCCAAGTCTAGAAAACCACAGAGAAATATCTGATGCTCTAGAAAGCACCTTCCAAAACAAACACTGATAGATCCATTTTATATTACACTATACAAACTTTCCTATGTTTAAATTGTGAGGTCTGAGAGTGCTGCCCGCCTTTATATTCACATGTGTGTCAAACCCTACGTTAAAATGAGACACAGGCATTCATCACCCCCATCCCTGGCACCTCTGGTCACTATAGGGTGCATATGTACGTATGCAGGCTAGAAGGGAGGAAACAGCAACTACAAACACTTACACGAGCCCTGAAGAGTAGACCTCATTAAGTAGAGGGGTGGGTGGAGTTTTGGTTAGAATTATTACAATTTTTTTTTTTTTTGACGATACAAAGTTTTGAAGACATAAAGATATTCAGTGCCGATGATAAATAGGTTGGACTACAAATATAATACTAAATCTTCCTGGTACAAGCAGATCAAAAGTTTATAAATGTGAGTGTTGCTAGAAATATACGACAATTCTTAGGGGAGAGTCATGGTATTCTCATGGTGAGTTTTTGACCTTTTAAAGTTTCCTTCTATTCTTCAACGGCAAAGCACTCTTGTACCAACTTAATTTAGAGATTCATATCATATCAAATGCAAGGAGAATAGAAGAGTAAAACAAAAGACGAGAGAGCACAAATAAGCAACATTAAAAGAGCACAGTAAAATAGTTTAAAGTTGCTGCTCCTTTCACTAATGTGGAAATAGTAGAAAGCATAGAGGAGGATTAGAACTGCTATCTTAAGACCCTATATATATAATATACAATTTGAATATCTTTTCCCCATAGGTGCTCAATAAGATCTTTCCTTTCCAAAAGTATTCAGAAGGAATCCCTCTGTTGGATGACACAGGAATTCTAAAAGCTTTCCTACTTGTTCTGAATCATGTAGGAAGGATAAAGCCCTTTTGCGTAGTCTGTCCTGCAAAACATCTGCATCATCTGCATTGCATTTTCATATTTCAATAATAGCTTGTGTATTGCGTTATTCATAATTTAAACACACCTTAGTTCCCTCAGAGAAACAACTAAATAAATATAAAGAAAGGTAAAGTGTCTTTATCTAAACTATGGGTTTATATGTGAGCAACCAATTTTGTCTTTTTTTTAACTTATGGAAGTAGTGATTTCCCTTCATGTGCTTTCCACAGATGTACTTCTAAGTATATAAAAAGATGTCAAACAAAGACAATCTTTCATATCTTGTAAACAGGCTTTGATGTTTCTTTCCAATATGACTATTCTCAGATCACTTAAGAATACTTGCAAGTAGAAGTTAGTGTTTCACCAGTCCAGTAAAGTTTACTATTCTCATTACACTGACCAAACTCACAGGATCCTTCCACTGTCTTGACACTGAAGTTACATTTATTTCATCACATTATTATCATGTCAGGTTACCATCTGCCATTCCCACTAACATTAGAAATGAGATATATTTGTTTGGAAAATATGGATTCACTATTTACAAACTATGCCAAAGTTGCTAGTACAATCTAAATTGTACTTCTACCATTATTAAAGAAGCAACTCAGAGAACTACCTAAGGACATAAGAAAAGAATTTCTCATCACTCACACTTAAGTCATTGGTGCAATGCCCAGATGGATCCTAAGATCAAGTTTTGCCTCCTATAAGTAGTACTGTTGACAGAACTTTCTAGCATGTCCACCTGTCTTTCCTGAAGAGCTTGTACTCTAGATGCCTGAATTGTCCCACCACAGCACAGTAATTTGAACAATGTCGTGATTCTGATCCCATGCACAGAGCTACAGTTCCTCTTGCTTGTTTCCCAGGCTGCACACATTTCTGTACATATGACAACCATGAGGTGGACCCTCTTTCACTCTGTTTTATTATTCTAGAGGACTCTCTTGTACCTACCACCTTGCACCCTTTGCTGTCCACCCCTGCCCACCACTTCCTAATTTGACTGTGGCCAAAGATGCTGTTGCCAGCTTTTTCAGGTGGATGCTATGTCCTCAGTCCTCCAAAAGGGGATCCATTAGTCTAAAAGCAAAACCACCACCCCACAGGACCTACCTGCTCCTTCCCAAGGTTTTCACTGTGAGGACTGAGGAGACACCTTGAAGTCCCATGTGCCCTTCGCTCTCTCTCCTTAGAACCGTGTAGTGACCCTTGATACAGTCAACATCTTCACAGTACCACTGGTGCCCATGTAGATGAGGAGCAACAGACAATAGTCCAATGAGTGAATAAGCCTTAGGAGTGTCTGCAAGGCATCCTGCATTTGAGCACCTGGCACACTGGAAACCTCCCTAAACAGCAGCTCAGGTCAGCAGATGGGATCTCCACCCTCTTTAGTAGGTGGTCTGTCACTCTGATGCTTCCTCAGGCAGAGTTTCTACCCTACTGTCTTCCGCGAGGGCACTGACCCTATTCCGCAGTTGCAAATCTGCGGGTGGAAGAGTTGCCTGCCTTTTGTTGCAAGATGTCACAAGCCTACAGTCTTCCCTAACTTGGGAGCCTCTCCAGTGAGCACATCCTCTGGTTGTTCCTCCTTCTGTGCAGTCAAGTGGTTCAGGCTGCATGGGTGGTATATGGGTATACGTGTAGGTAAATATGTGGGTATATGTACTATCCTAGTATGCTAAATAGTACTTAGTGAAAATAAATATGTAGGTTTGGAATAGAAGAAATCTGCTTTCAATTAAACTAGCTGGGTATGTAAGGAATATCCGTATACCAGTTCTTGCTGGGAAACTGTATTTTGCTTTAAAGTAAGATCTAGTGTAAATCACTCAGCTTATCTTTGAAAAGATATGGTAAAATATGTTGTTGTGTAATCACACAGACAAGCAAGAGTTATTTGTACATTGTCTCTCATATTAAATATTTAAGCACACCAGTAAACATACTTAGTATGTACTAGTAAGTACGTACATAACATACACATTTCAGGAATAAAATGTGAGAAATTTTACATGGTGTAAAAAGGTGCAAGACCATCGATTCCTACAGAGTTTAGTGAAGTTCCATTTTAAGAAGTTGCGTATTACTGAATACTGATGGTATCTAATGTATATATTAAAAAGGCTCCTAAACTTTCATTTGTAGAAGACATAGTGCTGAGGGACATGGTTTAGTGGTAGACTTCACAGTGTTAGGTTAACGGTTGGACTTGATGATCTTAAATGTCTCTTCCAACCGTGAAGATTGTATAAGTCTATGATTCTATGATAACCTGATAATTCTTAGACTCCCAAGGAACCACAGGCCACAGTTTAGCAATCACTTTTTAAAAGATGCTGAGGACTTTTGGTCACAGATTGCCTGTGAAGTAGTAAAATTATGCCCTGTAACTCAGAGCTAAGCTCAATGGAACCTACCCTTAAAGTATGAAGACCCTGCCCCTTATCCGTGTTTTTCCTTGCAAAAACACAGCTGCAGCTCTGACCGTGGATAACTGGAGAGTATGACACTTACAGACACCCACAGACCCCACAGAATTCAAGGGTGGGATGCAAAGCTTGTAGTTCATGGTTACCACACTCCTACATGTTGGTCTTACTTACAAAGGGTTCTAAAAACCACTTTGGGATAATGTCTGAAAATTCTTGTTAGAGATTTAATCTGAAGAGGTGAATATTACCACCCCCTCCCTGGGGTTCTGCTTAAAGGTTTTTAAGGTGACATTTTTTTCAATGACTGTGATGAATCAATTCCACCTACTTTTCCAGATATAATCACCTGCCTGGGGTCACTTTGTGGCAAAGACATGCTGCACCAAAAAAACTTTGCATCATCTACAGTGCAAGAACAGAGTGATGCAACTTAAAATGGGGATTATATGAAATTATCAAGTATTTAAAACTTTCTGTTCCCTTTCCCTTAGATTTTTTGGAAAACTAGATCATAAGCATAGAACACCCGCTTATCACAGCTGTACTTACCACAAGAAAGGTAGTCATGTTATTTAAAATAAGTTTTTGAAAGAACTATCAAAGATTCCTGAGTAGGAATTATCTGACACAAAGCTAACACACATAGTATTCAGTTCAGTAGAGCCAA